TAATATCATCATGTCTCGAGGTCTGATAAAAAAATATATATATTACATATGTATTATTATTATTATTATATTTTTTTTCTATGGAAACCTGACTTAAATTTGATATCCTTCGAAAATGAGGGATAAAAGCAATTTATAATTCATTAAGATAAAAAATTCAAAACATGTAATTTACGACGTCCTTGTGTTTTAAATAGAACAACCATATAACAAATACAGCAATATAGTCATACTATTGTCCCTTTCCATAGGATTTGTGCTGACTATGATATCAAAATTCACTCACAATACTTTCAAATTCATAAGGTCTTTGAACATCCCATTTGACACTTCTTTGAGTTTGTTATGTTGTAGGTACCTAAATGTACACAAGAATAATATTGTTGGAAAATGAAAAATAAAAAAAAAAATTAAAAGAAAGAAACATGTATCTGCTGATTGGCAGAAAAAATAGAGCCTAGCTTTTCAAAGGGCGGATAACGCTATCCAATCGATAAATAGCTGTCCAGCGTATAAGCGTTGACAAAACATACTGTGCTATCCACCAGATATAAATTTATCCATTGTATAGAGCTACCCACTCTTAAGGAAATCAGGCCCATGGTTCTATTGGCCGGTCACATGTTTTCCATTGATTTTTTTCCGATGACATTCAAAATCAACTGGTGTTAGTAAATACTGAGTGACCAATTGTGACCTGAGTGAGCTGGAGACCATTTTAGTGCACTTACAGATGAGTCATATTGCTTTTGTTCTTAAAAGCACCGTATTCCAGCAGCTCGATCTGGTTAGAGCGAAAACTCCTGCAAACAAAACAGAGAGGTGAGGTGATTAAGCGAATTATCATAGACTTAAAACTATCAGAATAGTGAAAATGAGTACATACAAAACTTCCAAATTCGAAAGTCCATCGAGCATCTCGCCGAATACAACCCGTAGAAGGTTCCTTCCTAAGTCACTGAAATAAAACAATCAATCTCTTTTATTCACTTTAAAATAGGTCATAACATAAAACCCCTTTCCCCGTACTCTCGTTCTCTCTTTCCAAAGTGCAAAGTTCGACCTAAGCACATTTATGTCCCAAGGAGAACACATAGGACAAGAATAGCATTGTTCACATGAAACTCACAGTACGCGTAAATTGGGTAGTCCCTTCAAGGCCCCAACAGGAAGAGCTCGAAGAAAATTAAAATCAAGTCTCCTGCGACAAAAAGAAAAGAAATATCGATTGCTGAGACAAATGTGATCATCGACTTTGCACCAGACTACGGGGCAGAAAAGTTGCTCTGTCACTATGAAATAAATGACTATTCAATTGATACTTACAGTGTCTTGACGGATGTCACATTTTGAAAGCTGTCTTCATCCACGTGAAGCAGTGAATTGAAGCTTAAATCGCTGAGGAAGGGGAAGAGAGAGATGAGAACTGTTACAAATCGGTAACATAACAGCTTTAAGCTCAAATTAAGGACATTGAGTTTTAAACTGAGAAATTTGTTTTCATCTCAGTCCAGAAGGTACTGGGAAAACTTCTTTCGCCCGAAATTTGTCAATCAAGGCGTTGGTTAAAAAAATCGAATGGTTTTCTCAACCATAATCCTCATTAGCTACAGAAAAATGTTTAAGATTAATACAGTCGCTGCAATAAAGTAATGAACAATCTTAAACAAAAGTAATAGGTTTACTTACATATATTCTAATTTCAAGAGGTTTATGAAGTCCTCCTCGCGCAATTGGGAGATCCGATTTTGGCCAAAAAACCTTTTTAAACATATAAAAAGAATATCAGTTATTTAGTGAAACAGGAGGAAAGAACTAGCAATTTCGTTGTTCGGAAAGAAAAGACGATAAA